ACTTTGAGCTGTTTGACCTGAAAGACACATTTTACCTCGCCTGTTTTTGGTTACCTTGGCTGTACAGTGAGCATGCCATCATCTCCTTCACAACATGACATGGGAATTAGCAGCTTAACTCAACTCAGCACCTTGGGGAACAGTAGTGTATGGGAGACCCTTTCCATATGCACCAGTTACCAGAGACCCCTGTAGTGAGACCCTGATCTCCTGCCATGTGTTATGGTGCATGGCATAAAGAAAGAGCAAGAGACAAAATAGGGGTTTAGCAGGGATCTGGGATGACCATTTGTTTGCAGGGCAACAAAAGGCCATGAAACACCTAGAACCTTGATATTTATTCATTACATCTGAATCAAGGACAGTAGGTGCAGAGCAGTGGGTGTTTCTGGGAACAGAAATGTCCACTACTACTATAGTGGGCTAGTAAGAACAAAGTATTCTTGCAAGGACAATGACAAGACTGGGGAATGAGAAAACTGTAGTTTCCCCAGGTGCCTTATTTTACTCAGAAGGTTTTATGCCGCAGCAGTCATTAATTAACCCTAGGGCTTCTAGCTGTGACCAGAAAAGAACAGGGAGTTCTAATTTAGCTCAAAGGGCAGGACAAGGACAAGCTTGGATGTCCCCTAGACTCAATTTATAATTTGTGGTCTCTGGTCCCTGACAGTAGTGATACAGGAGAAATATAACTTCCAACCTAGATATCAGATAAGCTCAATTCATGTCCCCCAAAATCAAAGAATAAATTCCAAGGAACAACAGAGGTTAAGAATAGGAAAGACTTATTGAGATGATAGTTCTTGAGAGACGGGAGGGGTCCCGAAAGTGGGTTGCCATCGAGGTCACTTGGGAGTGTTTTTGTTTTTTTATTTTTTGGTACCAGGACTTGAACTCAGGACCTTGTGCTTGCCAGATAGGGGCTTGTGCCCCTGAGCTGTATCCCCAGTCCTAAGAATGTTTTATAGAGCAAAATCACAAGGCAAGTACAATGTGGGTCAAACTCTAATCAACCAATAAGATTACAAGTATAGCTGCTTAGCTAATACTGATCTAATAGGGAAGCAGGTCATGTAGCAAGGGTACATGAAAAGAACAAAGGCATTTTTGGGAAGGGATGGGTCTAGATGCTCTGATTACCCACCTGGGTGACTGATATTTATTTGAACTTTAGTGGACAGATGATAGCAATTATAGTATAATTCCACGTTGCTGCTTAACCCTTAGGGAAGGATGTAGGTCTGGCTGTTGCATCTTTTTTTTTTTTTTTTTTTGGTTTTTCTCTGGTACCGGGAACCGAACTCACGACCTTGCGCTTGCCAGGCAGGCGCTTTTGCCGCTGAGCTAAATCCCCAGCCCCTGGCTGTTGCATCTTAATCTTGAGGTCTGGACTTCTTCAGATGTGCTTCCAGCCACAATTCTCATGTCTTTATTTTTCTGCTGATTTGTTGAGAGCCCAGTCTGTCTCTGACTGTTACTAAGTTCTGTCTAATGTAGCTACCTGTAATATTGGTAATGTCTTTGTGTCTTCCTCTTATCAAGGCCTGACTTAAATCTTATCTCCTTCTGTGGCTTCTGAGGCCACCCCACATCAAATGGATTTGTCTACTTTGTTTGGAGACAACTTCTGTGTAGTCCAGGCCAGCCTTGAACTCACTATTTTTGTGCACTTTTATAATACATAAAATTGTTTAAATTGTTAAATCCTGCCTAATAGTTGTAGTATTCTTTTGTGGATAGTTGATGTAGTCCCACTGTAGGTTGCAGTCTGCCTAAGAATAAGGAGTCTGTTCTTAGTCACCTTCACATTTTCCACAACCCCTAACTCAGCTGTTTATTCAGTAAGGCCAACCAGGAAGACAGTATCAAGAAATATTTCTTAATTGGATGGAAGGTTCATGCGTGACAGTTTTTTTTTTTTGTTTGTTTGTTGTTTTTTTTGGTACCGGGGATCGAACTCACGACCTTGCACTTGCTGGGCAGGTGCTGTGCCACTGAGCTAAACCTCCAGCCCCCGCGTGACAGTATTTTTCAGCTGATAGGAGCTATTACAGACTTGGAAGGGAGTCTCCCCTCCTAACTCTCCTATGTTGTTTCTCACAAAATCCCTGTATTGGCAGGAAAGGAGTTGTTTTGAGACAGGGTCTCAATAAGATCTCCAGGTTGGGTTTGAACTTAATGTCCTCCTGCCTCAGCCTCCCAAAGTGCTAGGATTACAGGTTGTGCCACCACCCTGCCTGGCTAGCAGGGTAAGAACTGTATCCCTGTTTTGTACATGAGGAATCTGAGGCTCAGATTAGAATCTAGGTTTCTTGTTAGGAAATACGTCCAAGATAAAATACTAAGATAAAAATAAGAGGAATAGGAACAAAAATCTTAACTGACTAGGTTTCCATTCTGTGGCAGCAGTGGGAGTCTCTAAAAGAGTGAAAGGGAAGAGGTGACCCGTATTGTTGAGGCTTTAGCCAATGATAAAGCCAATGTTAAATGTGGCTGTGTTCATGAATATGCCAGAGAAAGCATTCAGGATGATTTCATGGATTCTCAAGGCCTTGAAGATTAAGAAAGATTTGAGTATGTACAGATGTGGAGGCAGCACCATGGAGAAAAGTGGGAGAGCTGGAAAGCCCAGCAGAGGTAAGGCAGATGATGACTAGGTGATCACATACCTAAAGAATGAGACTGAGGCGATTGGGAGCGGTAATTTTTCTTTTGGAGCAGGGGAGTGGTATTAGGACCATTAGTCTAGCAGAGTAGAGGCAGTGGACTGGAACAGAATTTGTGGCAGGGAGGACTATTCTAACAGTCTGTTCTTTTTTTTTTTTTTTTTTTTTTGCGGTACTGGGGTTTGAACTCACGACCTTGTGCTTGCCAGGCAAGCGCTTATGCCACTGAGCTATATCCCCAGCCCCAGTCTGTTCTTACAATGGCAGTAAATTTTCAGAAATATTCAGTAGTATAGGCAAGAGTTATTGTACTCTCCGCCTTGGACCCTACACATGCTAGGTAACTGGTCTTCTCATACACCTTATAATGTGACCCTTAATCAAGAGGAAGATGAGAGCTGAGGATGTGGCTCAGTCCTAGAGCACGTGTCTAAAATTAGCAAGGCCCTGGGTTTGATACTCAGCAACACAAAAACCAAACCGAAACCAAAAAGTAGAAAGGAAAAGTTGACACAGGGAATAAAGAACCATTTGAATATAGAATTCTTAGAACAAAACAAACAAAACAAAACACAAGGACTCCGCAGTTGTGGGAATAGGGAAGAAAGGGTTGAATGAAAACATGAATTTTGGAATCTTAAGAATCTAGGAGAATGGTCATACCATTTGCTGAACCATGAGGCTGGGAAATAGATTTCAGTTTGTTGACATGTTAAATTGGAGATACTAATTAGATTAATCCCGATACCACTCGCCCACCTGACCTTTTACCTGGGGCTGCAGATACCTTCATGTCCTGTGTTTGCTGTTTGTTCCAGACCCTCCCATCCATTTTCTGTACTCATACCTTGAAACAACTCTTATTCTGTCTCTGAAATAAGATATCATGATAAGATGCTTAGCCTAGTACCTAGTCTTTTTTTTCCTAGTTAATTTTACTGGTACTTTTCAGATACACATATTGATAGCATTCATCATAGGGAATTTGTACCTGTACATGACAAATCTTGATTCTTTTTTCCCCAGTCCCCTTCCCTTCCCTTTCCTTGAGTCCCTCTTCCCCTTACTTACAAAAGCTTTGTTGCTATTTTTTCCCCTTCTACTCCTCTACCTAGTCTGTTTCCAAGTATGTAATAAACATTAGGGGCTATTAAATTGGTTTTGTTTTCCCCATGGCTTTGCATCTCAGTAGCTAGAGATTAGAGAAGCCTCTGGTACCATCTGGCTGATGGACTTGAGTCCTTCAACTTGTATGTAGGAAAAAGCCTGAAGCAGGCATGGTGATGCACAACTGTAATCCCAGCACTTAGGGAGGCTGAGGCAGAAAGATCTCAAGTTCAAACCCAGCTTGGGCAATTTAAGAGACTTAATGAAACCCTGTCTCAAAAAATAAAAAAGAGCTGGACATGTAGCTCTATGCAAAGGCCCTGGATTCAATCTTTGCAAAGCCCCTGCCCGCTCCAAGCCTGGACTGCAAGTAAATGGAGATGTCAGGCTTGCTTGTAAACAAGCAAGTGGGGGAGCTCCAAGCCCTATCAGCTGAACTAGAGACTGTATTTCCTGCTTGCTTTCTTCTGTTTTTGAGAAGTGGTATAGTATAATATGTGGTTAAGAGGCAAGCCCTGGAGCTGGGATTTCCTGGGCTTATTCTGTTAGCTGGGAGACTTGGGCAAATTTAGTTAACTTTCTGTCCTTCATTTTCCTCACCGGTAAAATAGAGACTGTGGCAGACACTGACCTTATAAAATTGCTTCAAATATTAAATGAGTTAATAGAGACAAAAGAGTTGCAACAGTACCTAGCATATACTATACTGCTCTTTGCACCAGTGTTACCTCCACCCCACATTCCTGGAAATATATAGAGATTACTCTGTTCTTAACCATTCTCCTCCAACAGCGGGAAAGAGACGTAATCCTAGAAACCTGAGGTCAATATCAGAGATTCACATACTAAGCCTTATTCTTGCCTCGCTGTAACTGCCTTAGGGTCTCTACACTTGATGTCACCCTCTTTGGGATACTCTTCCCTCAGAGTTTTAGATGTCTTACCCTCTCACTTTATTCAGGTTTTGTCTGATGCCATCTTTTGAAAAGGCCTTCCCTGACCATTTTATCAGAATTAAATGTTCCTCTTACCCGTTGTCATTTTCTTTTCCCTTACCCTGTTTTAATCTTCTTTATAGCACTTACTACTATCTGAAATGGTATATTTAATAATGTACCTTTCACTGGGATGCAGTGTATGTGAGAGCAGAAACTTTGAATGCCGGTATTATTCTAAGTTTATGTCAGTTCATGCAGAATCCCTAATGGACTTCTCTCTCTGTTACAGGTAAGCCCTGTTCCCAGAGGTAGCTGCTGCTGACCCTATAAGCCAAAGGAAGAAATAGCTGGCTAAGCTCGGCCTTGATACCGGTAAGCGGACAAATCCTGGGCAAGCTTGGGCTAAGAAAGACAGGTAGAGTAACTAGTTTGGGGACTGGTTTTACACTTAGTACAGATAACATACTGATCATTAATCTACTACATATCTAAGGGAATGGATGTTAGCAAAAGTAGGCTCCTACTCTGAGAGGAGATTGAAAACACTATCCTGGAATTGTCATTAGAACATTTGGTATCATTTGCCATGAATATGGCCAAGCAGGCTTACTTTTTTCTTGCTTCTTCCAGCTCCTTTCTGCTAGAGATATCCTGGACCTGGCAGTGATAATTATGCTTCCATATGCTGTCTGTTAATGTGACCCCACAAGTCTCACAGACTTTCTGACTTCACTGTCTCCCATGACCTGCCAACTCTGGAGGTCAGCTTAAGAAAGTGATGAGTTCTTCAGTCCTGCACAGTGTGATCCTGAATGGTGGGTGGGGATTGAGTGGTAAGAGTAGGGTTGTCGTGTGTGTAGCAGTTATGCAGGGATGTTGTACAGAATCAAAAGAGAAATTCAAGTTCAAAAACTTTGTGAATTGCGAAGGAGCATGAATGAAACAAGAAAGTAAGGAGAAAGCATTATTAATTACTTTCAGTATCTCAGTCCCTGACGGATTTGTCACCTTACTTCCAAAAGGTAATAGGAAGGGTTTTCATTAGGAATTCGTGCTGTAAATCTTCTCCAGTGTCCTCTTCCTCTGCTGGCCCTATCCACACCTCAATCTTTCTACAAGGAAGAAGATTCCAGGGCTCAGGTGACAAATTCAGGCAACAGTGGCAACCACATGAGGCAGCATGTTGGCTACAGAGTGCAGGGTTAAGTGCATTCAAGCACCCAGGCTGGCATACCACTGCTGGCATAGATAGTAAAGCAGTTTCTAAGAGGCCATCGTAACATGAATCTGCACTCACTTCTGAGATGTTGCCTTGTTCCCTACTCGCGTCTGAGAAGAAGAACGCTATTCCTGTTCAGGCTGTAGGTGTCTTCTACTCCCAGCCCGCTTAAGCTACTAGTGAAAAAGACAATTAAGCTGTAGCCACTATGTTACTGAAGGCCATAGTCACTGCAGTCTTCCCGCCATCTTGCTGTTTGTCTTGACCAGTGATGTAACAATCTGTATCAGTGGACAAGGGCATTTTTTTCTGCCTCAGTCTGCCTGAAGGGTGCATTAGAGGAATCTCGTCTCAACCTGGTGCTCTTAAATTTCATATTCGTGAGCTCCAACCTTTGCTACTCTGAGTCTCTGGGCTATTACTGCCATCTCTTTTTGTCTTATTAATCTAAAGTTCTGCAGCTTCCAGCCAAACTTGGATCTTACTCTTCCTACCATGTGAAAGTTTTTTATTTTAAAATATGAATGCTTCCATATAAATAAGGATATAATATACAGGTATCCATAAAAATCATAGCTTATTTATCTAACAGCCTCATTATTCCAGAGCCCAGCTAAAAAGCAAGAAGGAAACAAATCATTGTCATCCTTAAGCCCTTGCAGTGGTGGTGATTTATTCTTATTTTTATGTGTTATCATAAAAAGTTCAGCAATCTGATTTCTGACCCCACTCCCCTTAAGATTAAAGGAGCAAATAGGAAATAGGAAAGGAAAGGGGGTAAAAGCTGAAAGCTGGCAATAATGAGGGGATGATAAGAAAGAGAAGTTAAAATAACAGACTGAGGGGGCTGGGGATTTAGCTCAGCAGCACAGCGCCTGCCTGGCAGGCGCCAGGTCGTGAGTTTGATTCCCGGTACTGGAGAGGAGAGGTGGGAATGACAGACTGAAAGACACTTAATGCAGGGGTGACAGCCCTACAAACACCTGTTCCTGAGTAAGTTGGGGCTGGGTAATTTCCATGTTTGTTTCAGGTTTCCCTTGAAGGAGAGATTTTTCAGAAAATGTTAAATTATTTGTAGTGTCTGCTGTATTGCCAGGCATACTGTACTGAATGCTCTTCATAAATATATTTCATTTTCATAGTAACTTGGGAGGTAGGTGGTGGTATTCTTGTTTTATAAAGTACTGAGACTTAGGGACATGTAGGCAGCAGCGATTGAAAGTGCTGGAATGCAGAAGAATCTGATGCCAGAGAACCAAGTTTTTTCTGTTATTTTCCGTTAGCTTTTTTCCCTGTGGCCTAAACTCCTGTCTTTCTGAGCTTCTTGGGCTGAGTTCACTTTGTAAATTAATTTTTATATATAAATTTTTCTTTTTGAAGATACTTATTCATTATTCACTATTATCTACTATGAACTAAGCAGTTTCAGGTGTTTGAGATACAGCAGTAAATAAAATAGTTCTACATGCTATATGTAGAATAAATACAGTATGTAGATAAATACACATGAATAAATATGAAGAAAAGTACAGCAGGATAAGGGAATAGGGAGGGACTGGATTGTTAAGGAAGGCTTGTCTGATCAAATATCTGTATGTGAAGATGCAGGAACTGAAGTAGTGTGCTATGTGTGTATCTTGGGGAATAACATTCCAGCAGTTGGGAGTTCATCAAGTTTAGACACCTTGAAACAGTAGTGTGCTTATAAGTGTTTGAGGTACAAAAGGAGGCCAGTATGGCTACAGAGGAAATAAGGCAGGAAAGTGGGAAATGGAGAATGACAAGGGAGGACAAGGCAGACTGCCTTCTGAGTGAAATAGCTGTTGGAGAATTTTGAGCAGAGGGATGACATGATCAGATGTCCATTAAAAAGAAATCCCTCTTATGCATCAGCTGGTACCTCTACTACTCTGTAGGACAGTGTTGAATAGAATTGGTCAAAGAAGACAGCTGGTACCAGTCTTTCACCATTAAGGTTTTTTTTTTCCCTTGTGGATCACTTTTATCAGACTAAGAAAATTTTTTTGAATTCCTAGTTTGAGGCTTTACATGAATAAATACTGAATTTTATTGATTTTTTTTTTGGGGGGTGTGTGTGTATGTTTGAGACAGGGTGTCGCTATGCAGTTTAGGCTGACCTTGAACTCACAATGTAGCCCAGGCTGGCCTTGAACTCATGGCAGTCCTCCTGCCTCAGCCTCCTGAGGGTTGGGCTTATAGGTGGGTGCCACCATGCCCAGCTTCATTGATACGGTTTTGTAGGGTTGTTTTGTTTTGTTTTGTTTTTTTGGTACCAGGAATCTAACTCAGGACCTCATGCCTCATACTTGCTAGGCTACTTTTTTGGATTCTAAACCAACTTTGTGTTTGTAGAGTAAATTCAATTTGGTTGTAGTATATAATTTTTAAAAAATGATACTGGGTTTGATTTGCTGACAAATTGGTTTATGTATCTTTGGTTTTGGTGTCAGTAATAGTGTCCTCAGGATGAATAAGAGCGTGTTCCATGCTCTGTTTACCGGACAAGTTTGTAAAAGATTGGTGTTACTCTTCAAATATTTGATAGACTTCACCACTTAAGCCATGTGAGCTTCAGCTTTTCTTTGTTGGAAAATATTAACTACTATTTCAGTTTTTTCCTTACTTATAGGTCTACTTAGATTTTCTTTCTTTTTGAGTCATTTTGATAATTTCTAGGAATTCATCTATTTCATCTACGTTTTGAATTTATTGGGTTCAAGTTATTTACAGTATTTTGTTAAAATCTTTTTAATTTCTGCAAGATCAGTGGTAATACTGCTCTTTTAATCTTTTTCTGACCTCTCCTTGCTTTGGGTTTAGTTTGTTGTTAGAGCTGTGCAGTACATCATCATCCTTCGAGATTGGTAGCTTCAAAAGGCAGGAGGCCCATTGTCTGTCAGTATAATCCTCATATGGTGTCTGGAGAATTTTGTGTGGGGGAGCATTCTAAGGAAGGCTGCCAGAACAGCTCATGTAAGAAGCAGCTGTCCCTATTCACTCCACATCCAGGAATTCTGGCCACATTTTATTACTTTGGTTCCAAAAGCAGCTGGCTCTTTCTTGAAGGTTGGTATCACAGCAAAGCAATATCACAGCTTGCTTTGGGGGAAAGAGTGGAATACAAAGGCTCTGGGCCCCTTTGGGGGGTGCAGGCCCCCCTACTTCCCTCCCTTTTTCACTAAAACTACATTGAATCTTTCTGGCTTTCCACTGGGACAGCCAAACAGAACAAAAGATCAGCCAAATAGGAGAGAAACCAACTTAGCCCATAGATAGGTCAGATCAACTACAGGGTAGTTCTAGGGATACTGGCCATAGCAAGAGTCCTGAGCCTAAGACTAGAGTTGATATGTCAGAATCCAAGCCTAGGAGATGGGGCAATTATTCAGAAAAACAAAGGCCATTTAGTAGCTGTGGGGCAATAATCCTGAGATGGAGGGATCTCATCTAATGGGACAGAAGTAGGGAGGAAATACTAGTCTGTAACAACAAAAGATCTCATTAACACAAAACAGAAATTGCTTCTTTTGAGATTATCTGTTGTCATTTTATATTATGTGAGACTTCACTTTCCAACCTTAACCCTCAGCATTACCTGCTCCCATCTCTTCAATTAGCGTAATCTGTCAAGAGTTAGTATAATTACAGTATATGGCAAAAGACAAAAGGTATTGATAGGATATCTTATCTTTAGGAATATTAATTGGCTGCATGTTTTTCACCATTGTGTATATTCTTTAAAACCATAGGCCATCTGATGTTGGAGGGAAGGGAGGAGATTTTAGAACCAGATTTACCAAGATCTGAGTCTTTGCTGACATTTATTTTCTGTGAGACTAACCTTTGAGCTGTACTTTCCCCAACTGCAAAATGAGAATAATCCTACTGTGATACCTCAGTACTCACTAATTATTCCTAGAGGTGCAATGAGTACCAAAATGCCTGAGTGCCACACAAATTGCTGTGGCTGGAAAGGGGAGCAAGTCAGGAGACACCTGACACAAGTTCTGGCCTGTGTGTGGAGTACCAAACAAATGGCAAGTATTGGGACAAAATTTTCATGTCAGAATGCATCAGGTACCAGATTTGAAGTTTCAAAGCTGTCGACCACCAAGGTATAACTGTACTTTCT